CATGTTCTGGGACAGAAGCCGAAGCTAAACTGACACATCTCTAGTATTATATAGCTCTTCGAAATCTCTACAAAACTGATTATTAATAGTAAGAATAGCATCATTCTTGACAGCATATAATACTTAGTGCAAATATATTTACCTCCAGTTTCACACATGTAGATGTACATTACGATCGTTATTGACCTCTTATGAGACTATTTCAAGTTGGTTAGATATTTTAATTAAATGTAGCATTTGATATAGAATCTCAATTGTGATATTGAATGGTTCGATCGAATTCAAAACAAAAAAAACAAACGACTAAAAATGTGAAAAATAAATATTTTTGATGAAAAAAGTGCATAAAACCTCCCATTTGTTTGACGACTTTCTGAGGTACGCCGTGTTTTTTCCCTTTGATTTATATATCAAAAGATGTAGTTTTTGACGGGCTTTTAGAATATGGTGTTATTTTTCTGGGACGCTTGGAAAATGGTATCATTTTGGTCTAAAATATCTAGAAAGACTGCATCTCATTTTTGCCATGAATTTTCGTATTTTCATTTTTTTCCCAAACGAAAGTGGCAATTTAAAATGCTCTTAAATACCATTTTGTAAAGCAGATTCGGCGCTATCGAATGGTATATAATACTTATAAATTTAGTCGGATTTTAACAAAAATATAAGGCACACAAGAAAATCCAAAAAAATCAGCAAATTTTAACAAGTTCCGTGAGGGTGGTTAACTTGTGTTCCTTATATCTTGCCACTGCATTGATATTTAACTCTAATATTTTGGCTTTTGTATATACACACTATGATCTTTCAAACTAAATATCAAAGATCAAAATTTAAATTTTAGCTCCGGACAGCTTGGTCGACATTCTGGCGAAACCTCTCTTAAGTCACTTTAAAGTCATGCTAAGTCAAGAAAGTCATTTTAAGTCAGTTAAGTCAAGAAAGTCATGAAAATCATCTGTAAGAAAGCATTAATAAAGAATAAAAAGCTGTGATTTCTTTTCAATCTTGACGACACATTCTGTTAAAATGTTCGCTTCACATTTTTCTTCAATGATATACACATAAAATAGATGAGAGAAAAAGATACGTATGTTGTAGGCAAAATTGGCATATCATTTTGAGAACTTCAGAACTAACAAAGAAAACCAAAAATACAAACACGAGTGGAGTTAAGGATGATGATGAGAGTGAAGGAGAAGATCTGACTGAGAGAATGGAAGTAATGATAGTGGGAGTAAAGGATTCTCAGCGAGAGTTAGTTTCTCAGTAAGATTATGATGTTATACAATTATTTCGTCTGATTTTATCCTTAACTTCACCACACTTATCGAGACTCCTCATCTTCACTCAGACCTCGGTCTTCGGCATCACCATGATTCATGATGACGAGAGATATGCGAGATCAAAAATTAAAGAGTTATCAAGGCCAAAGCATAAAAACTTACAGGAACCAGAGTGAGATCAAGAACAGGAAAACAAAGATTTTTGTTAAATTTTCCTTGATTTTTAGCAAATTATGTGGTGAATCATATCATTTCTTTACCAAATTGATCACAATAGGAGTATCAAAGAATTTTTTAAGGTTTAAATCGGAAAATTCTAGAGTATTTTGCTTCACACCATCACAAATATCAAAATCAGAACCGTGATTAAAAGAAGTTGGTCTCGCATATGTTTATTCGTAACTCCACTTGTGTCCTTATTGTTGTTTCTTTTTGTAGTGTTGAAGTTCATTAAAAATAATGTTCCAATATCAACTCCTGAAAATTAGAGTTCTAATTTTGCCTACAACATATATACAATTCGTGTGTGCTAGGCATTAATTTAGTTTGAACTTTGCCATTTATACGCATGTATCGTTTTTGTTACTCGTTTTATAAGTATCATTTTTTTAAATTTTATGTTCATATCACTTTTACATTTATGAATCCTCGAACATTATTTGCGCATACTAAAGTATTGCTTTCTGATGTGTTCACCTCTTACAATAATGACTTTCACAATCTTATAGGTCAACTTGCCAGTTCCGATGAAGCAGTATTACTTAAAATTCAAGGTGCTCGAGCGTAAGTGAAGTCAGGTGCGGATTCGAGTAATTACGAACAGGATTTATTCAAAAACTTCTTCCAATGCTGTTATTCTTCTTTTAAGTATAATTTAACGAGCTCTATCAAATGGTGTATGCGGGTTTCTCATCGCTCAAAATACGCGTCCAAAAATCTCAAAATACTTGAAGTTTATCATAGGACTTAGATATATATAGATATTTCAGTGTAACCGCGCAGAATTCGTTTAAAAACTGGTTCCAAAGGTCATTTTATCATTCAAACTATAACTCAATGAATTCTATCCAATGGTATAATTAGATTTTACATAGCTCAAAACATGTCTCCAGAAATCTCACAATACTGAAATTTCACTATGCCGATATTGGAATACGTAAATTAATAGTTGTTCACCTTGCGGACGAATCTGTCGCAAAGTTTCCATTCTTATGCAAGATAACGGCTAATAGAAGCATATCGGTTCATCTCTTATTAGGTTCATCTTGTCTAACATGCGAGGAAAACCATTTACCAGTGCCTGTTTCATAATACATAGAGAGAAACTAGGTTTTCTAAATCAAGTGTTGTAACGAGTTTTCACGAATATATGGGGAATAGAATTCACTTAGCGAGTTATAAACCATTAATCAGTATATTGAGATTTTTGGTGATATATTTCGAACAATTAGTAATCTAAATAGACTATTAGAAACAACTTATGAAGTTCTACGTGGCACAATAATAGGAAATTTGTCACAGCTTCTTGAACTAATATGAACAGTTGTTATTTTGTAGATTCTAAGATCCTAATAGTGAAGTTTCAATATTTGCGAGGTTCTCTGAGGCATGCTTTGAGTTATGAAAAATCTAATTACACCATTGGATAGAGGTCGGCGAGTTGTACTTGAAATAAGAATAACAATATTGGAACAAATTTCTGAATGAATCCTACTCGTAAATAGTCGAATTTTGACTCAACTTCACCTCAGTTTTCAAGGGATTATGCAAGCAATGAGAGCAGATATTGAAATTATGATTGTTTTCGCTGTTTACAAAGCTAAAGGGTGTCAGAATTGAAAGTAAAACTCGAATAAAATGAGATATATTGGTTTTAAAATAAATGACTTTGATGACTTTTAAAGTCATCAAAGTCATTTTAAGTCAAAAAAGTCATTGAAGTCAATTAAGTCAAAAGTCAGTCGTTTCCCCCTTGATAATGAGCCATTTTCTTATTGTGTATTTTTTTCGACATTTTTTCCTTTCGACATTTCTACTGCCAACCAATTTTGTAATGCTGCTGGCATACCTTCTTAATTTAATCAGCAAACAAAATAGAAGAATTTTGCTGGTTTTTTGTATTCTTCTCAGAACGACTGTGGTACTTTTCAGCCGATTCTTTTATTTTCGATACAACTATCTAAACTTTGACTTGATCGGGCTGTAGTTTTTAGAAGAATTTTCATTTGACTGCTGTCTACAAAGCTGCATACAGACAATTTTCCAAGNAACTTATTTAGATCTCTCTTCTATTCATTTATAAGAACTAAATCATGTAAAAATAAAATGTTTTATAGAACAGGAAAGTACTCTAAAACGAAGGAATATCTACTGGTTCATTATATATATACAATAGATTTGCCCTATTGATTTATTTTTAACCGAGACTTTGTAACATATATGTGAATGAATCACTTCAAGCGAAAGGAAAAGTCCGCTGGAAAAAGGAAATATCCGTTAGTCGCGTATACATGTTTTTCTTTCCTTTCGCTACTGATATATATGACATTTCATAAGGTGTGAAAGGTTCCATATAAGCTAGTGGGACTTTTAGTAAAGTGGACAATTTTTGAACTTTTGACACTGCTGCTGACTACGACAACTATACCTACCCACTCACCAGAGTACTACAAGAGCAATGCATCTTTAATATGATTTTTCAGCTTTCCTCATATCCACATTTACTGTGGAAGTACAGAGAAATGTTGATAGAATTGTTTTCAAGGAAATGAAGATATTTTGATTCTCCTTGTCCGCATTTCTTACCGAAAATCAGTTCGAACACTAGGAAAACTAGGCAATGAATGTCTAATTTACATAAATTAGTTATTCTCTAATATTTCTTCAGTATATAAGCTAACGACATGAAGAACACTGTGTAGTACAATCACAAAATTAAAATGTCTCATTAGTGGTTATTCCTGAGTGATTCTCATGAAAATGAAAATCACCATAACTGCGATCAGTGTAGCATCAGACATTATTCAAACAAGGTTTTGTAATAATATACGAAGTTATCATGTGTTTATGAAAAACTCACGATACCTCCTAAGTCTTTTACGTTCACATCCTGCATAGATTCACTGAGATTATTTTAGTCTCTTTAGTTCCTTTTTAGTCTTTTTGAACGTGTGTGTGCTTCTCTCGGTATTGTGCTATTTTTGAATCAATTGAACGCCTCAAGATTGTTTATGCCGTAACTATTATTTATGACCAAAAGCATAAGACCTATTAAGGAAATGGTGTGCACATAGATTTTTACTTTCAGACCAATTTCAATGTATACTTTCAAGTTAGTAACAACTTTTTCTACATAAGAAATTATAAAAAATTCCATAAGTTTATTTCGTAAATGATATGGAGCGTTCAACTAAAAAGCACAATGCAATAGCCGAAGAAGTACCCTCTGATTCTAATTACATTCGCAATGAGAAAAATATAATGGTAGTACCAACTGTCGTAGATGATACAGACAAACTTATACGATCGATTACGTGGCTGGATGCATTTTGGGTAGCAAGTGGTGTACCTGCTCTTGTTCTTTTTTCTATTGGTGCTATCGCTGCAACTGTTGGAAATCCATCTTGGTTTGTTTGGACACTCTCGATCAGTATTGGTTTTTTGCAATCATTTATCTACGCTGAAATCGCAGGATTATTCCCAAATAAGTCAGGTGGTGCATCAGTTTACGGAGCTATTGGCTGGATACGTTATGGTAAGGTTTTGGCGCCCATTTCTGTCTGGTGCAATTGGTTTGGTTGGTCACCAGTATTAACTATTGGAACTGGATTAAGTGCTGGATATATTCTCAGTATGTTTGACTCAAATGCACTGATTAATACATGGGAATTAAGAATAGTTCATCTAAATTTCATTCAAAAAGATCTGTCAATAAGGATCAATTCAACTTTTATTATCGGAGCAATATTGATGCTAGTAGTCTTTGCTATACAACATCGAGGCATTCTCTCGGCTGCTCGCGTTCAAATGTTGTTTGCTATCTCGTCACTACTACCCCTAATCATCTTAGGTATAGTACCGCTCTTCCTCGGTAAAGTACATGCTAAAAATTTCATTCCATTCACACCACTTATGCGAAATACCACAAATAATATCACTACTGGAAGTTGGGATAAAGCAGGCATAACTTCATTTGCTGGTGGTATGTTTATCGCTGCCTGGTCAGCCTATGCGTTTGAGACAGCTGTCTGCTACACAAGTGAATTCAAAAATCCAGGATCGGATACATTCAAGGCAATATTATCTTCAGGTTTATTGTGTCTGTTCGTCTTTTCATTGATTCCATTTACATTTCAAGGAACACTTGGTCTTAAGAGAATGCTCGATCCAGGCATCTATAATGGAATGGGAGTTGCTAAGGCAATGGCCGAGATGATCGGAGGCGGTAAGGTATTGGTTAATATTGTGATTGTTCTGTTGTTATTATCGCTTCTGCTTTCAACGATGACTGCAATGGCAGGTTCTTCACGCACACTTTATCAGGGTTCTATTGATGGCTGGCTTCCAAAGTTCTTGTCCCATGTCAATCAACATGGTGCACCTACAGCTGCAATGTGGACAGATCTCATTTTTAATCTAGCCCTCTTGCTAATGTCGGACTACGTGTTTGTTCTGGCGGCCTCAAATATTGGATACATCATCTTCATCTTCATGAATTTGAATGCTGTATGGATTCATCGAATGGACCGTCCACACTGGAAGCGACCATTTAAGGCACCTATTTGGTTGACTTTTATTAGTGTTATACTTAGTTATGTTAATCTTGTATTTCTTGGCATGGGATCAGATATATGGGGAACTGGAGCACTGGTTACAGGTTTAGCGTTTGCTGTCTTCATCATTCCAGTATTTCTAATTCGTCATTATATTCAAGACAAAGGCTACTTTCCTGTTTCGACAATGGACAACACCGATGTTGACGACGAGAAAAGTGTAACGAACCGTGCTGGAATACTGCCATATCTCGCCCTTGTCATGGGTGTAGTGGTCGTCATTGTCTCACGCTTGTTTGCAAAATATTGAACTATAATATCATTACATTAGTAATTCTAGTATGATTATAGTGGAAATACCTTTTGTAAATTATTAATTTTTATTGTTAATTTACATAATATAATGAAGCTAAGCGGTTGGTTTGCTGGCTAATGACCCAGTTCTACTGTAGTTTTGAAAATAGTCGCTTTTCACTAGTATTTCACTATACAATCATTCAGTTATTCAAATATTAACGATTCTGTGACATAACAACTATTCCTGCCATATGGGATGCGAAGAATATTTACAGAGTTTTTCTCGTTACTATCGAATCTGTGCTCAGTGGCATCCCCGGGTTAGTTAAATAGTCGAATACTTGAAGAGTTCTAACCACTTGTCGAGTTTTACATGTATACGACGTCAACCTATGGATAAAAGAAAGCAACTTTCTGAAAAATCTATCTCGAATTGATGCTTTTGTATAAGTAAACATAAATCAGCAGATAATTCTTGATGAAAATGTCGAAAATTATTTTGATGAACCAGAATGAGGATTTGTAGAAAATATGGCCAATAAAAGTAAGCTCTTCTCTATAAAGAAAAGTGAATATTTGCACAAACTGGAAGATGAATGTTTAAGACTCTGTGAATGAATCATTTAACTATTAGAAATTTTTATTAAAGAAGGATTTTCACACGAAATGCTTCATTGATATTTGTTATAAATGACGCGTAACTCTTCATTTAGGTCATGGAGGCGATGTGGATTGCTTGCGAAAAGTCATATCCATGCGAAATTCTATATTACTTTTATATTGAACCGAACATTTACTTTCATTTTTGGCTGAAACAAATTTGGAGAATAACATTCATTGATTATTTTATAAAATGTTTCGGTCCACTTTTAAACAATAAAATCCTTGAAAAGAAAGCAACTCTCATCAATGCTAAGTCCTTCTTTATTCCACGAGGATGTTAGGTATAAAAACTTGAATGTGTGAACTTTTAGACCAATTTTTAACTGATAGAGCACGATATAGTAGGACTAAGTTGCAGATTACTGCAGTCACAATTTATTAACCTGCGATAGAAATAGTGTCGCCAGCATGCATACAAAGTTCAAAAACTCAAAGAAAAGCTTCTGAATCAGGTAAAGAGTATGTAATAAGTTCTGATCCTTTTGAAGCAATATTTGTATTTTTTACGTTTTTTTCAGTAGAAGAAGGTGATATTTGCAGTATATGCACTAGACATGTAAATCAACTCGACAGTAGCATTTCAGTTTTCTACTTCTTTTAGTTAGAAAGATACAAGTAATATAAAATTAAAAGGAATTTTCGATTTATTAGTAAGAATTTTCCTGCCGTTTTATTAATAATGCTAAATGAAAAAGCAATCGTTTCAATCAGATTTACATTTTGAAATTCTTCTAGTATTATACGAAGAAAAACTGCGTCAATGTTTATGTATCTGCTTATCATCATGATCTATTTTTCGTTTTAATCGATTCGGCAATTTTTTCATCATTTTTCAAGTCTGATCAATGGATCAAAGTTATTATTTTCGAAAACATTTGACATGATCTAAGTATAAATTATTAAATATAAATTTGTATTGTTCTAGATATATAATTAGGCTTCGTTGTCTTTATGTGAAAAAATGATAAACATGTTTAAAAGTAAACAAATAATACGTTAATTCAGTTATTTACTAAAAGTCAATTTATTTATTCATGTGGTTTGTTCGTGAATTTTATTGTTTCTACATCTCACGAGCATGATATAAAAAGAAATCATGCAATTTTTGTCTGTTAGTAATCCAGCGAATATATAACAGAGCGTAAAAGTGATATATAGGAAAATAAAAGCTACTTATGCTGAAAGACTCATTGAAAAGCTTTAATATTTTCCTCCATGCTGTTGCTAAAAGTATATCGAAAAATTCCATATTGATTTTAGGTTAGCTGTATCTCTCTAACTATAAGTGGTAGAAAGCGAAAATTCTACAACAGAGTAGATCTGAATGTCCAGTATATATGCTACAAATATCAGTCAATTCTACTGAAAAAAGCTTCTGAGAAAATAATATTACATGAAGAGGATCAGAACTTATTAGACATCCATTATTCCTTCTGTGTATAGTAATAATCTTGTTGTTTTATTCTTGAATATTATATGAACACACGTATCGCTAGAATTTATGTCACAGTTTTCTTCTGTTTTCGATTCAGTTACTCTGAAATCTTTCCAAGTTGAACATTTCACGATTCTCGTGAAGTGTTTACAATGTTAATGATTTTGTATGCGAAAAGCTCTATGTTTCACTGTAATTGATTCTGAAGTTTGTCATAATCATGTCACAACAAGAGAATAATGGTTATAGTTATACAGATTCGAATATGAGCAGTTTTCTTTGAAATAGAAACACTTCACTTGCAGCTCGCATGATACAAAAAAGCGCTGTCTTCCCTGGGACTATAACAGTTCCACTTCCCATGAATTGAACTGTCATGAAAACTGAACTGATATGGAACTGCTATAGTTTTAGTCTTCACCGCTAATACTTTGAGCCCACACCTACAAGATGAGAGAATTCAAAATAAAAACAAATCAGAATATTGTTTTTGAAATCGAGAAAAAATTTGGAAAGGCTTTCAAGAGACACTTTCGTCGAATTAAAGTATTGTTATTTCAACCAGATTATCAACAACGTTATTCCTCATCCTCAGAAAAAAATTTAAACAAGAAAATGAAAAATAATCTCAAACTATAATGAACTCAACGAGCATAATTCACAGAAAGCAGTTAACTGAGTGGCGGGCTTAGGATTTTTTATGTGAGGCGTTTCCGTGAGGATAATGGACAATCAAAATCATAGGAGGTGTTTTGAAACTAATTAGTGATAGTATCTGCTGATTTTCTACCTTATTCTGATAGAAAAAAAAATTAAAAATGTCCTTTTGGAATGCGGTTGATCGCCTCCACTGTCGAGCTAATCATTACAATCGAGTCATATCTGTTCTCGTTATTAGTTCATCTTTTTCTCTTCATGATTTATACCTTGTGTTGCTAGTATTGATCAGGGTCGTTTATTTTCTAATAAAAATATCTACTTGTTTATTTTAATAAAGTGCTCAGTCTTTAAGAAAATTATGAATGTAAAGTACAATTTACATGGCTAGATGTGTAATCTAAAGAGTCGAACGATGGCTGCTAAGTGTAAAATTATAGTACACTTTTGAAAACAAACAATTTCTATTTTTTCAATTCCTCTGGTTAGAAATTCGACTAATAAAAAATAACAGAAAATTTTCGATCACACTCGTATGGATGCTAGCGGCGGTGGGGAAGCGACTAAACTTGCTATGTCACAGTGGTGGCTGTTCAAAAGCTCTTAAAATTATCCATGACTAGGAACTCGAAGTGTCATTAATTTGCAACAAGAATTAATCCAGAGAAAGAATTTTTTATGCATTAGATGATATCAACTTATTAATGTTCTTTATATTTATTTATTGATAACTTCAACAATGTTTGTCCTTACAGGTTTTTGCCAAAAATTAGCTCAATAGTACTCAACGATATCTCTCACATTCCCAATATGTTGATATCAAGATACGATAGAATTTATTATGAAAAGAAAATTGATTTTCAAAAATTAGCTTGTTTCGTGCTTTAGGTATCTATACACAGAATCACGTTTTTCGACTATAAAGATGGAACAATTCTAATCTATTCTCTGCGTATCAATCATTTTACTAATCGATCCATCGAATAATGATCGTGTACTGTTGATCAAATTGACACATGTCACGAAAACATCTTTAAGACAAGATGATGCACTTGGCTTCAAGAAATATGAACCTAGTAAAAGCGAACGACAGACACTTTTCCGGAAGTCACGAATAATGGTATATTGTTAGCATTAAAATAGGAAATTACTCTTATAAATTCTGTCAGATTGCATCTAATTCAAAATGTTTACTCAATCACTTAAAAGTTCACTCCGAAGAGTGCATGGGAAAAGTCTTCTATTTCACTGATATCGTCGAATCACATTCTATCGAAGATATTCCATTCTACGATTCAAAATTATCTTTATCGATGAGTGCAGTTCAGTCTACAGATACCAAACATCCATTAGACTGTCACCTTGTTACGAAATTAGCCTTATTTACCAAGAAGATAATTAGTAGACAGTCCTCATAAATTCCCATTCAATCATTTATTACCTTTATTGACACATGCAATGCAATCATAATCGTCACACTTTATGCTAGCTAGTCTGTCTTTTTATTGATATCAACGCACTGGTGCAATTGATATCGACTGCGGCATATGAAAAACCAGAAGCTACAATTATTGATATATGAATACAAATGGGAAACTAGTCTCATATATCAAGACTCCTGTTTGACACTCATTTCCTCTTTTATTTTACGCCCTCAATTGGATGATTCTCTCATTTTTTTCCTTTACTTTCCTCCCGCTTTCTCTGTTCTTCCGCTGTCTCAATCTTGTCATTGGCTTTGTTTCTAGGCGTCGGCGATTCTGAACAACTGCAATAATTCATTTTGTGTCTCCTCAAGCACAATCATTTAGTTTGAAAATTAAATTTTTACGTATCGATTAGAAGATCGTTTGCTGAAAAGCAAAAGTTAGAATAGGCAGATATATTTGTATTCGAAATAAATATAGGTTGATCTTTTTCTCGATTAATCGATCTCAATTTTTGATATAGAGATCATATGTCAGACGGTGCATAAATTCACTGCTGAAGTCATATCTTATATCGGCATTAAGTTGATTGAAAAAGGATTATGACTGAAAATCTTGAAATTTTTCTTGCCAATTATGCGTATAAGTACGTGTCGACCATTGTAAGTGAAGAAAAATGTGCTTTAGTTTATCTTCTGAAACAAACACATGTGCCCACCAATCTGCTTCTAGTAATTGTTCCCAATCATAGCGGCAACGAATGTCGAGAATGAATGTACGAAGATTGGGACAACTTGACAATAGAAGTTTAAGAAATGTACTACCAAACTCAAATCCAAAATCATTGTCTTCTCCCAAGCTGAGTTTCTTCATTGCTATAAGACCCGTACGGATCCGAGTCGGTAACAGGATAGAAGATGTTGTATTATCCCTCATCGGATCACCGTAGAGTTTTGCTGAAAAAAAACGAAGTTGAGGACATTGATCCAAAAGTTGAATAGCCAAGATAACATGAAGTTTGCTCACATGTATGTAGAGAAGAGATGGAAAATGAAACGTACATACATTGTCCATAATCTGTAATTCCTGATCAAATACATTTCCATCTAGACACAATCGTTGAAGAAGAGGACAATGTTGGTAGAATAAAATCGACACGAATTCATTACTACAGCCAGATTCACCACAGTTGGCATTAACAGTGAACGACATAAGACTCGAAAATGATTTGAACTTTTTGCAATATTCAATGCATCTTCGTACGGATTATCATATGTCAATTGAAAGTGTTGAACTTGTCCAAATTCTTCCATAGGAAATTCCTTAAAAAAGGCACCTTATTTCCATTTTCAAACAAAATAGTTTAATTTTATTCATCAGCAGTGCAATCTAGTGTAAGGAATTTATAGCAGAAATTTACAATAGAATGTCCTGTTCAATTCTGTCCGAAAAAATTGTTTTATCTCTTCTTGTGAAGCATCAAGAGAAAACGAATAAAATCATAAACTGAGATTTAGCTTACAGAAAATGTAAATGGAATTGGAATAATTGATTAAGTAAGATGAATATAGAGAAAGGACTTTAATAGACATAAGAAGTTGATTGATCCGTTTATTAATACCATAAAATGCCCAAAATAGATTGATCCAGTCCAGATAATCGAAAATTTCAAGCCATAGTTCATTTGCTAAAACTTCAATAGTTCATGGTATTTCTTCAGACATTTCTTCTTTGTTAACGTCGTCGACTTAATAGTATCTGTTAGACTTTCACAAAGAGAAATGTGAACATCTGTTTCTCTCGCGTCCGCAAATAACAAGAAAAGAGAAAGAAAAATGCATACCCTCTTCACTTTACCTTTACTACCTGTTGATTTTAGACTTCTTTAGAGGGTACTGAAAACTAAAAAGAGTAATCAAGTTAAACAGGAGTGTGTATGAGAAAGACTCATGGAACAAAAATAGCACAAGAAACTGATCTTGAGAAATACGCTTTTCAACTAAGACGGTATCTATTTGCCATACAATACTTGACAAAATTGTTTGGACGATTTTGTTTTTCTTATAACTATCTTATGAGGTTCGCTTTTGAGGCGCGGCTTGTGTCAAAATTACAGGCATCGTTTATACTATATCCACAGAAAGTTCCATCCATAACTGTTGAGTTATAGTGGAGCTGCATATATAACAATCACCAGCAGTCAATTTTTGCTGGACAATTTTGATTGGACGATGTTTTAAATTGAGTTATTTTTTTCCACAAATGTTCAAAAAGGACTAAATATATATCAATGGAAAGAGGAGAAGACGGGCTACATTTTGGCTACTAATAACTTTCAAAATTGACTTTGGTATGAAATATCATGATTACTTTATGAAAAGTTTCACCTACCGCCTATTTGAACTCTATTTTTTTTGTATAGAAATTCAATTATTTTTTAAATATGACATTCGAAAAAGCATCATATGCTCTCTGCTACTAAAGACATTTCAGACTTCAATTTAATAGCGTTTTGGGCTTTTTTTCGGCAAATGCCGTCAAACATTGCCGTGTCTAAAGATTTTAGCTTGTATCACAAGTTCCCTAAGTCGATAAGAACTAAAGACCTTATTCAAAATCGAAAGCGAAAATGGCATCTGTAAATGTACTAAAAATGTTTCGTTGAAAATTTTATTTCAAGCTCATGGTGCTTCGATTAAATATCTTTTTACAAATGTTTTTAGAAATATTGTTTTTATCCTTTTTGTTATTTACAAAATAATTCAGTGCTTTTTTTCATCCTGTCCTCGTGTATTGTGGTTCACTATGGANAAAATAATTCATTGATAGAAGACCACCAGTTTGCAATTGATTGAAGTGTTCACATGACATACCTTGTCCTCTGTATACAGTCATGAACGCAGTCAGAAGGGGAATTGGAAGATCAATTCTTGCCAAACAGATTGAAATAGCTGGAAAAGATGCGAACTGATTCGTTTTCACAAGTTGAAAAGTGATTTTTTCCTATGATAGTCCACCTGCCATCCTAGGAGTTTCTGATTGCGTGCCTGTTACGATTAAGTTTTTTTAGCACTGTAACTCTATAAATGATAGAGACTGTTTATATTCATGTTGAATTCTTAGTTAAACATATAGTAGAATATATATCATTGAATATCTCGTTACATTATGTTTCATTCGTTTTAATTTTATTCTTTTCGTCTGATTTTGGATGATTTTGATTTGACTTAAGATGAAGACAACAAGTTCGTTCTCAATAGTAACTAATTAAAATTTCTTAATAAAAATAATCATAACAATTTTTTGTCGTTAGAAAAAAAATAACAAAAAAACGAATGCAATAGAAAAACGCAAATGTCTAATGTTAAATAATTCTAATCGAAAATTGTCAATTGAAAGAAAAAAAACAATTTTAGTTGATGATGAAATGATTAGATAATTGATTGATTCAATTTGTTAGTTTTAATTTTAGTTGTTCTAACGAATCCACAATCTAATATCGTTAGAAAATTTTGAATCTTTTGCAAATGAACATGTTGATGGTAAACGTGTTTGTAACCATTTAATTAATTCATTATCATTTTTGTTTCTATCACGACAACGAACATTCAATGATCGAAGATTATTCATTTTGTTAACAAGATCAATTATATTTGTTCTTTTTTCAACTTCAATAACAAGAAATTCACATTGATTACCTAATGGTGAACGAATCAATGATGAACATTGTTGATCATTATAATATTGACAATGACCAAAATGATTAAATCCTCGTAAATCAAGATAACGAACAGATGAACTTCGATTTGAAAATGGTGGCATTTTCCAAACGTTTGTATTTGAACTCTAAAATTAACTTTTCAATATCAGATACAAAAAATATATTTTATCAATATCAGAGATTTTACACAATATATTGATGAATTATTCTCTTAAATAATTAAAAAACGTATTTATGACTATGCAATTAATTATTATCGATAAGGAATCTTTGAATTTTTTGAGTTGATGACAGTTTTTTAATCAAGATTTTATTTATCGAAAGATTATTTAAAATGTGTGAGAGATAAATTCTATTTTTAGAATAAGAGACATCATATATGATAAAACAATCAGAAAATTCTAGACAATTAATTTAATCTATGAAGATGTATCACTACTACGCTGAATAAAACAAAATATTTCGATGGCTTTTATTATTTTCATAGTTCATTATAATAAAGATAAAGAAAATCTTCAATAAATAAAGTTTCTCTTTCTATGTAGTTCATATCTTTATCTATACTAAGGATAAAAAGATAATTATTTAATTTAAACAAAATAAAAAATCATATTTTAGTTAAAACCTATTTCAATTAAAAATAATCTTTTAGGATTAATTTTTACTAAATCCGTTCAGTTAATATGAAGTGACTTGAAAATAACTTCTATAAAATGTAATATAGATTTTGTTTGATTTTCAGGTCAATAAAACAAAATGATAAATTGATTCATTTTCTCCGAAAATCAATAAGTGTTTAGAAAAAAAAATTCAAAAGAAAAACTTTTGATAATTAATTGAAACAAAAAAAAAATCGAATTTTGTTTAAATGACAATAATGATAATTATCTTGAATATATAATAAAATTGAGTTTTAGAAAATATTTTAATTATAATGTTATAATCAATTTTTGTTAATTCTAAGTAAAGTTTAGATATAAAAATGTTTTTAGAAAAAAATCAAACAATAAACCTTTTCATATTTATCATTTCTCAATAAAAAAAAAGATTTTTCTACTTAAGAATTAAATTCGAAGAGGATATTTTCTCATATAAAAACTAGCTGAAAATCCATAAGAACTAAGACAAACTGTGTAAATAAAAACAATGATGATATATATATATATATATTAGATTTTCAAGTTAAAATGAATTTATATTTTCTAAAAATAATTTAATGTAAAATTCTCTCCTAAAGTTGTAAATTAATTAATAATAACTGTAATTAATATTAAAATAATGAAAATATGAAATAAAAGTGTCGTAATTTGTATAGACGTTTAAAATGATTAATAGTTCTACTCTCAATTAAATTTGTTATGTCTATTTGTTTCGAAATCATATATATAAAATAAAATGAATAATTTTATTTAAATTTCGAGTAAGAATAAATATAATTGAATTACTTTTTTATTTTTGTTTTCATTTTTTGATATTTCTGATGGCCATGAATAAAATTTAAGATAATAAAGATTTGGTGATTGATCAAGTAAAACTTGTAATTGAATAAAATTATTATCATAATGAGAATAATTAATTATTTTTATTTGAAGATATATTAAATTTTTAAATTTCGGAAGTAAAAATTGTAAATGATCATCATGAGGAAGTGTTAATGTTAAATATTTAACATTTGGAAATATAATATCAGGTAAACAAATATGTTCTGATGTTGTAGAAGAATATTTTAAATCTTGAACATAATTATATTTAAAATAATGTTTATCTTGAATATAAGTTGTTTTAAATAAAAAAATTTCATTAATATTAATAGAAAAATTTTGAAAAATAAAAGGTAATGTATGAAGATAAATAAAACTACTTTTATTTTCTGTATAACAAAAACATTGAATAAACCATTTATGTTGATTAATCCAAAATTGATTTTTATATGAATCAATTATTTTATCAACTTCTTGTTCAATATCATCATAATCAATAAGTTCAAATTCCATTTTAAGATTAAATATTTTTAATTTTGGTAAATTTTTCAAAAGAATTTCTTTCCATATATGTCCATCCATATGAATTATTTTTGTTTCAACTGTTAAATCAATTAAATTTGGTATTTTTCGTAAAATAGATTGAATTATTCTTGATGAACTTTCACATTTTAATTTTAATTTATTTAATGAAGGTATTAATGATAAATGATAATGATCATCATATGGATCACAAATATTTATAGATAAATATTCAACATATGGAGTATTTTCATATAAATATGATAAATTATCTAAATCACATTGAACACCTAATAATGATAAATGTTTAATTGTACATGATATTATATTTGGAGGAATTAAATGACAAATATCTTCAAAATAAATATCTAAATAACAATGTGTAAGACAAGATAAACTCCATATATTATTCATCATAATAAGAATTGATTTAGGATCATATTCTATATAAGATTGTTTAAAATAAACATGTGTTAAACATGATATTTGTTTTAAATCATTAAGAAGTCGATTTATTTTTTCTATTGAATAAATATTAAAAAATGATATTGATTGAAGATTTACAAATCGATAAAGTGGATATAAACGTGATATAAATATATCAATTTCATGTGGATTTGTATCATTGTCTGAAAGATAAATTGATTTAATATCATTTATAAATAATGAAAGATATCGTCGACGAAATATATTTAAATCTTCTTTTAATATTAAACGAAAATCAATATGTTTACTGTTTCGAATATATTCTATTATTATATTATCAATACGACAATTTAATCCATGAAATCCATGAAATAAATCAACAATAGATAAATATTCAAATATATCGAATAATAATTCATTTGCTAATTTTTCCAATGACATTTTCATTTTTAATCAAAAATTTCAAAATCAATTCTTTTATGTTACAATTTAGTAGAATTGACAAATATTACCTTTTTCTTCCCTCTTTAACGTAGATAAATAAAAAGGTTATTGCGTAATCTTTTTTGTTTTTTACTCAAATTTCATTTGTGATATATTGACAGAATCTACATGACTCATACGTTGTTTGTAGATTCTGCTATTTGCTGCTGCTGTTGCTGTTGCTGTTGCTGGTGCAGTAATGCATTTCATACATGATTTCCAAGTAATCAATTCTATGCAATACTTTAGTTATTGAAAAATTCTCAATTTAGTTTAATCATTGAATCGAACAATTCCTTTTATCAGCAAGTCTCTATAAACATGTATTTTGGACTAAAAATATTTTGTTTGTGCTGCTCTCTAGCTTTTTTACAAAAGTATTTATTCGTAGAATAATCAGAATATATCAATACTTCAAATGAAAATATGAAATGAAAATAATGTTTCTGTTCTTTTTCATTTCTCGACTATAACATAACATATCTAAATGTATTATTTATTTATAAATTGGTTAAAGATTTCATATAGATGTCACTGATGAAAAGTGCATCTGTTAATAATCGAAAAAAAAAAAAAAAAAAAAAAAAAAAAAAAGTTTTCTTTTTTCTTATCCGTTTGAATATACGATTTTAGCTATGTTATATAAAATAATAGAATAAATGATTATTGACTAATTGGAACTAAATAAAAATGACAATAAATATTGTAGATAGAGATTTAAATAAAATAAATAATTAACTATAAAAAAAAGTCTTCTCAATTGAATTAAATATTCATTTAAATTTTAATATTATATTAAAAACAAATTTTTCAAATAAAAACAAATATTTA